CTTTCTGGGGCTGTTTTGAGAAATGAGGGGAATAAGTTTATTTCCAAAATAACCTCATCAGTTCTTGGTGGATGTAAATCTGCTTTTTGTGATTAAAACCTTTGAGGCTGTATTTAACCAAACAAAGCCAGGGGATAACCTTAACTCCTCTCTGACTTTGAGCATCCAAGACAAATTTAAATCATCCAATGAATATTAAGCAAGAACTTGTTTTGCAATTTCTGCCTCGTTTAATGACTAAAGACTTAATTTCTAAAAGCTTTATTTATAGACATTATGGTCTCTGATACAGTCAATTCATGCCTATGAAAGGAAGATGAGAACATCTAATTTTTCCACCTATTGTCATCTATTTTTGCTTTTCAATCTCATTTCACAACCATAAAGGAGATGACATCCAGGAAGCCTCTTACTTCAGAGTGTGGGCAGGGATGGGTGGCACTTAGGGGTCTAAGGTGGTAAATCTGTACTATTCATCACCATTTCAGCTTTAATTTCCTTGCTGCTTCACTGTGCATAATGATAGGATGTCTCTACTAACAGGCTTTCATGGATGGCCTTTTCAATAAATGGGAGAGAATGATACTATGTTATACCATATTTTTAGTTCTGTTTGGGATAATATTAAAAAGATCTATTTCAGGGAATACATTTAGAGACAGTTTTACACATTGGAGCAGTTAAAGTTAATCTTCTAAACTCACATTCATGGTCTCCTGGACTCTTGAGTCCTTATGTAAAGAAAAACCTCTCTGCAGTAGGGAGAGGTTATTTCACTTCAAAAGTATACCTGAAGATGGTACAATGATTTTTTTAATTTTTTTTTTTTATACTGGAACACTGATAAACAATGAGAATGTTTCCTTTGGGGGTAGGGTAGAACACTTAAGTCTGAGTCACTACTGTCAAAGCTTCTCCATGTACTGTATCCTGTTTTCCAATACTGATCTGTAGCTGATGGCCAATCTGATTAAACAGGTTTTTTTAGACTGTGAATGAACAGCAAATTTCCATTCTTCTATGGTATATTTTTTTCCAAAAATGAAGCTAAGTCTAGTTAAAAAATATAAAATCAAATAAGCTGTTTGACATAAGTATCTTAGGGGTTGGATGACACTCAGGGCCTGATTATTCTGGAAAGTTTTAGCAGTTAACTGATAATGAACTCAGTTCAGCATATGTTGAAAAAGGACAGCTTCCCTCAGTTGCCCACTAATTTATTTACAAGATAGTAAATAGCTTGCATTCACAAGTTTCTCCTTTGAGTATGGGAAGTTTCCAGGGAGGCATGCTTTCTGTGTTTGTGTCCTGTTTCAGAAGAGTCTGCCACGCTGACATCCCACAGCTGTGACACCAATCTGCAGTACGCGTGGGTGCAGTGAGGAGGAGGTGAGTAGGAAATCACAAATGAACTTGATAAGGTGTATGCCCCTTGTGAATGAGCCAAGGGTCACAGAAAATCGTCCTTAATCCCTTTGATCTGTATGTCCTGCTCTTTTTCTGAGTCCAAAGAATATCCATTTTGGCAATACTTAAAAAAAAAAAAAAAATCACTGCAAACTAAGCATTGTATACTGCATTTTGAAAAAGTGATTCTGAAGAAATAATAAAAATACCTATCTCTGGACTATTTTAAAGCATGCAAATACTGTTCAGTGTCTCAAAATACTGGAAAAAATATTTCAGTTGTACAATTGAAGTATTACTTATAACTTTTCCCTTTTATAAAGTAGGTTAGTATGGATGGCACTATAAATTGCCATAAAATACTTCCAGACCTCTTGGACCTTGTTTAAACAACCAGCTGTGTATAGCACTGCTATAGCAACAGATATATAATACTAGGCTTACGACAGCATCCCAGAGACAGCTCTGAATTTCTGCTGTGCTGTTTATTGCTTGGTGAAACATGGTCACGTTGCCAGGGACACTGGAGGGGGCTGGAATATCTCTGGAATTAACAACCTGGGTGATTGACCTTTGTAGTTGTTTTCAGGTTCTTACTGCAAATGAGGTGAAAGACAGAAAATGCACCAAGGTTGGATTGTAACAGTTTCCTTTTTGGGGAAAAAACCAAACAAACCAAACAAACATAAAAAACACCAAAAAACCCCCCACACCAAAAAAACCCAACTTTCTGTTTTCACACTGTACCAAATCATGAACAGGGGAGATGCTTGTGGAAAAGAGAGAAAAGTCTGTCTTCCCTCCTCAAACATTCTGGTCTATACTAACTCTGCGTAACACAAGTGGTTGGTGTGCTCCTTGAGAGCATGTTAGTCTCTTCTATGGATAGGTTTAGCTTATTTTGAGAGGGCTCTAACCAGCGTGTCACTTTGTCACCCTTTCCTGTTAGGGCGGACTGGGTGCCTCCTGACAGGAGGTCGGGGTGCCAGGCAGTGTCTGTGAATACCTGAGCAGCTGTGGTGGCTGCACTCAGTCTTTAGTGAAAAGATGTGCTCTGCCCGATCTAAAGGCACAGGGTGGTGGGCACAGGTGGCCATGTTGGCCATCTCTTGAAGTGAGCACTGACTTCTGCAGCACCCAAAACCACGACACGACTCCAGAGTCTGCTTTCTCCTTTTTATTATACCTGCCTCTGAGACCTATGTTGAGTTGGAAACCTCTGTCCACCCATTACCCCACCCAGCAGTCTCCCCAACAGTATATGAAACTGCTTCTGATGAACAGTCTTCTCTAGCAGTAACAAGCCATAAAAAAAAATAAAATTCCAACTAGCTGTACTGTGAAATATGATTTTAGTCAGAAATTTCATACAGGTGTTTGGCTAAATGGCAAAATTGTGAAACTGCTGGAGGAGTAAATGAACACTGGGACCATAATAATTTAAGGGATTTACAGTCAAAAGAATAATGTTAGTTGGAGGCAAACAGTGTGTCTGTTTAGAGGGTAGCTGATATTTCATAGTTCTTCTGTGAGGTTGAAGCTATGCAAACAGTGACATTTTGTCCATGTTAACTGAGTCAGAATAAACATGAGGGTGCCACTTGTGTGGGAGGCATAGCTGTTATTCCTAATTCACAGGAATTAGATTTATTCCTACTGATCCTGGAAAATTAATTCATGTGAGAGTGTGCCAGCTGGAGATTGGTTTACATAGTTTCAGGAACATTCAGGTTTTGCATTCAGAGTCTCCCTCAGGTACAAATTTAACAAAAGGGAAATAACAGTGCAAGGTCAGACTTTTCTGATTTTCTTTATTTACTGGCCTTGAAAGTAGGAAGATGTGATTTGCAGTGGATTCCAGCTACAACAGTAGGTGATGGTGGAAGTTGGCAGCAACTGCCACTTAGCTATATTCCTTCCAGCAGGGTTTTGCTTCTAACGCTGAAGACTGGGACCTCCAAGGGAGGACAGAATGTCCCCAAAGGGTGGCAGTATGAACACAGTCTGCTCTCCCCACGAGGTGACGTCTGTGGGTTTACAGCTTCTCCATCTTGTACAGAATAATGGACTGTGCTTGACTAAGCTCATGTTATTTTGGAAAATGGAAAATCTGCAAGGTGAGAGAAAATCTTGTATTGGCACCTGTGTGATAGCTGTGTCTCATGATGGTAACTCATCGAGACAAGGGCACGCTTTGATTTATTTTCATTATGAACTCTAATGTCACAAGGTCTTAAACTCTTCAGACTTGGTAGTGCCTGTGCTTGCAGTTACATAGTTCAAGCGTAATTGCAACTTTTTGTCTTTAGTTCTTATCACTGCCCACTGTGGTATAGGCTACTCATAGTATTGCATAATTTAGAGCAAATTTAATACAATACTTGAAGCGAAATTAAATTACCTTTGATGCTAGTATTGATATTGTAAACTAGAGTCAGGATCTTGCCAAGATTAGGTTGAATAGCACTAATATCACAAGGAATGTGACTGCTAGTGAGTCTCACCAGTTATAGCCTCCCTATGTAAGCAAGCATGGGTGATCTGCTGTGCTCAGCACATCACCAGTATTGAAGCGAATTGAACTGTGGGGTCAGTGATTAAATGTTTTCTATATTTGAGATTTGACTCAGATACTGGCAACTGGGGGAGCATGAAAAAGAGGAAGGAAATGTAAACCTGCTTACCTTTTTTGTTTTCTTTTGGGGGGGCTGTGAGGATGAGTCTGTGTAGGTCAGGGTCACCTACTCCAGATAACTAAGGTTATGGTTGTGTGAAATGGGTAAAAAAAGAGAAAAAGTGGTATGAGGAAAATTAATATTTGTGTAAGGAGATGGGAAGTAGTGGCATAGTGGGACAGAAGGGTACTATGTGTTTCAATACTTCAGTAATTATAGTAGAAAGATCACTTAAAATAAGATGTAAAATGACCATAGAACTTTATTTTTAAGTAAATTTCATTGAAGAGTTTCTTATTATTTTGCAATAAATTAAACAGAAAAGATGCTACATACCTGCCTGTTGAATCCAAACCTAGTAAAAGTACAGCTTATATAGCTCTTATAACTTAAAATATATAAATTTTAAGACATGTCAACTTATATTTACATAGTGCAATAGCATCATGGAACTGCACTCACGCTTATTAACACTCCACAGATTAAAGCCATTCAGTCTTGTCTGGGCATTTTCTTGTTACGCACAAAATTGTCAGTCATCCTTATTTTTCTTGTGGATTTGATAATCTTTTCCCAACACTCAGCTTACTGGTCTTGCACTTCCTAATAAACAGCAGTTCTTTGGGATCTAAGACTTGCTTCGATGTTCACAGTGTAGTTCAAACAATAAATAATATCTGTATCCTGTCTTGATTCTGTGGCATATGGGAGGAGAGGATTTTCTCCCTGTGCTGCTCTCACCCTTGTAACAGTCTTGCCAGATCCTGTGTCCTCTTGGCTGTGGAGCTCTTTGCACCTCCCTCGTATCCCTCCTCCCAAGATGGGGGTTCTCCTTGCCGTAGATCCAACTACCCTGAAAGATCTCTGCACAGGCTATTTGACACAGAGTCTATTTGGCTCTTCACTGCCTCAAACACTTCATTTTGAAGAGCTGCTTTGCAGCTGATTCAAAAGGTTCAGGTAGGCTTTGGATTTCAAAAATCTGGGATATGAATCCCTTTCCATGAGGATGTACACAGTTTTCTGGGCTTCATCAAAACTTGTGTGAGTTGGGTCTTGAGCCCTTTTGGCTGTTGCTTCCCTCATCTGATGGTCAATATTGATCTGGAAAGCAAAAAACAAATGCCATTGACATCCTAAAAATGTACTCTCTTCCTATATCTATCACTTTTTGTCAATAAACAAATTTGCAGCCTTAGAACTCAATGTGACAGTTCAATATTGGAACTGCAAGATGAGGGGAATTTTAACCCATATTCCAGTCATGCACAAAAATTGCTATTCACTATAGAAATACAGTTTCTTATGGAGTCAGAAGTCATACAACTCAACAATGGAGTAATTAGAGGAACAACCTCCAATTAAACTTCCAATTAAAACAATAGGAGAAATCTTGTGTAGAATGAGAGTCTCCAGTTTGAAATATGATTGACATACACAACTTCAATTCTCCAGCATGTACACATATTTTAAGAGAAGAAATAATCCATGGCTCTCCTACTAGCAAAGTGCTCTTTTAAGTACCTGACTCCAAACACCAGCAGCAATTCAAACTGGGCTGACTCAGAGAACAGCATCATGTGCTGATCTGCTCGTGCCTCTGCTGAGCTTCTGCTGGTGGTGCTCCCAAGTACTGGCCTATATTGTGTGACTCTACTGATAATCTTGCAGCTGAAGGCAGTAATGATGCAAGTACATTCATAAAAACATGCAGCCACATCTTCTTCCTATATAACTGAATGAATGTATGAGCCTATCTGAGAAGTTACACTTCTATCTTCTGATTTTTCCAGAATCCTTGTATTGTAACACTAGACAGAGTAACTTTTGTACATACCTGTTTAATAGCATCTGACTGAACAAACTCTTCATAAATTCTTTCTGCTTTACCATGTAAGTGATCAGACTTGGTTTTCTTGTAATCCTCACAAGCCAACCAGAACTCGATGTTTTCCTCACTGAACTCTGACTTCAGGAACTCCCGAAAGACACCTTGACCACCTAAAGCCAGCACAAATACATCATCATTTATAGTATGATATCTGTGAAAGCCAACACAAATATATCATCATTTATAGCATGATATTTGTGACCAGGGAGGATAAAATAAATAGCATGAGTTGTATTGAAATCACTGTTATAAAATCTTGTCAAAATATGCTGTTCTTGCCTTCTTCAGCATATTACAGATACTCTAATATTAAGGGTGATGGGAGTCTTCCTAATTATGTTCAGTGTTTTTAGATCTAGACCCTGGGTACCAAAAGACACCAATAGATTCTAGTCCTAAACAGATTGTCCTAGGGTACAAGTGGAGAGAAAATTCCAAACTAAACTGATGTGTTACACAAGGACAGAAGACTGATCAAAAAGCACTGAATTGAGTTATTTGGGGTTTATCTGCTATACTGGAAGTATGAAATGGAAGGGGAAAACAAACTTGGAAGCAAAGCGGAATACAGTAGCCGTATTACACTGAAGCTGTAAATAACTGAAATGCAACTGGCCGTTCTCTGATGACAGTGTTTGCAGAAAGCTACAGCTTCGCCTATTTGGTGAGTTTAGATAAAATTTTGTCCTCAGAATAAGAATGAAGTCAAACTGAAGTAATAGACTTACTTTGGCTGGCCAAGAGGTTTTCCAAAGATTGGGACCACTGTATTACTTCCTCTGCAGAAAGCCTAAGATGAAAAGAAAAAGAAAAGACTTTAGGCAAGAAACTGTGTGGTTTTATTTGCATGTTTAAAGGAGAAAAATTTCATAATTTATTATTCTATTCTAGAAATATGTACCAGGTATTTATTAAACTTAGAGCTTTCTCATAATCTGAGACCCTGGAGACAAGCCCACATTGAGAAAAATAATCAGAGAGATGGAAAAACAAGGAACTATGATGTTATCCTGAATTCTGTTCGCAAACAGTGAGCTTTTACTGTAACTATGACCAAATAATTTTTAATCTGTACTTCTGTTTCTATATTCCTGAAGTAAGAATGGTAATATCCTCACTCTTCACTTAAGTGTGAAGCGTCATTTCTTATATAAACCTTTAGAAAATGGATACAATGTCCCTCTGAAGAAAATAGATTTAACTGAGGTGACTTCTTCCTCGCTGTTTGATGCAAACTTATAGACACCGCTAAGAAAAAACTTAACTCATTAATAGTTTCTACTTCCTAATGTTCACCTCTTTTTGTATTTTGGAAATTCTAGGCATTATTATAACACTCGTTGTTCTAGAATTAGTTTAGAAATGAATAAAACAGCTTTCTATATAGTAATCTAGCAATACGTATATTTTCTTATAACTTAGCATATCTCAGTACTTACATGACACTTCTGGAGTTAGAAGTCTTGATCCCAGATTCGATACGTGGTACCATGCACTTCAAATAATTTTTGAGATCTGCGCCACTGAAACCAATGAACAGACGTTTTTGTAATCCATTGAAATTGTAGTTGTATTTAAATTCTACTTAAATTTCTTAACTCTTAAACAGAGGCTGACAGCTCCATCCTGTGACTGAAGTCCTGGGCTCCCAGTGTATCCAAAATCTACTCCTGACTACTTAAGGGAATTAATTCATTGGTATGCATCAGCTCAAGCCATTTTTAATGACTTTAATGAAGACCTGGGCTTTGAGCAGGCTTTGCAGTCATTTAGATCGAAAAATGGTGATAATTCTTACTCTCACAGATTCTAGTGTTACTTTCATTTCTAATACATTAGAGTTTATACTAACATGTATATACTTACAAAGTCTTTTGCTTCTTTTTACGGATTGTGCCTTCTGCAAGCTTGTAGTCGTCTTTTCCATTTAATTCTGTCATGTTGTTGTGGGGAAAAAACAATCCTGGCATCTCACTTAACTTTAATGTGGAGTGACTTTTGTAACGATAATCCTCCAAGCACCAAATGTCAGTTCACTGACTCTGCTACCGCCTTTTATTGACGCAGGCAGCCCTGTTAGTTGGTGTGAACAGATCTGTTTATCATGTATCCTCACCACAAACTGTGGAAGTTCCCTTTTTTCAGTGCACGGTGACGTGAGTCTTTTGAGAAAGAAAACAGACAGCGGTGTCTCGTGGTTGAGGTTAAACCGGATGAGACTGAATTACTTTGGGTTTGTTTTGTGTGTCTGTGTATGTCTGTTACCAAAAAAAAAATCCCCTCTAGAACTTTGTATTCTTGTCCCTTTCTGATTGGTACTTTCAAATCAGAAGTAACTCTTGGTTTTATCAAATGGGCTGGAAATACTGACATTTTATCTTGACAATATTCACCTGCTATATGCCTGTGTTCAGAAATTTCATACTTCACAATAGATTTGATGGGGTCAGTGGAATATTAGAAAAAAGTACTTTAAGACATGCTAGTATTAAGGTTCCATATGCAACAAGCCATTTGCAAGTCACCAGATGCTCTTCAAACGAGAATGCTATGTTAGATAGAGGACTCTGATTCGTTTAGACGCATGTGCTGTGAAAATGTTTATAAGTGACTTTCATGGGAAAGGGTTTTGAAGCAGCAAAACTTGTTTAAATTGGTTTAATTTTTCCAAGTCAAATCATTTGGAAGCACACTGCCATATTTCAAGAATGCCTCTACAATTTTAAGTGATGTGGCATGTGTAATATTGATTTAAGTTACAGAGCTCTTGTTTGTAAAGCCAATGTGAGTGTTACAATGTGTTTGAGGGAGGTTTGCATTCTTTGTATATACTCGAGTTCCGCCGCAAGAAGAAACAATGGATACCGAGCAAGATGAAGAATTAATTGTTGCCCTCCATTTATCTGTCTAGGTTGATGACTTAGAGGTTTAAGTACTTAATCTGGTCCCCGGGCATCCCAATTTCTGCTTGTTTTGATTTTTTTTTTTTTTTTTTCTGGGAAGTTTCAAAGATTTTGTTTTATTAAATAACATATATAACTTTGATTACCTATAAACAGCTTATCAATGATTTGTACAGGGTTGCATATGATCATGATAACTGAGAACTTGCTCACATATCTACAGTTTCATAGTGAACTGTGATACAAAGGACTCGGAGACTGAAAGCTGCCTGCAGACAGGACAGATGTGCATGCAAGGACAGACAGTCTGTATCAGGGTGGTTTTAACCACAGGAGGCTCCTGATGCTCTGAATATTAGCAGTGACATAAATGTGTCCGCATAGGTTGTACTGCGGGAAACTTATCTCCATGCTACTAGGTAAACACTGACCTTTGTATGGCAGAGGTATTTACTAACTGCTCGTAGCCACCCTGAACAAGGCTAAAAAGGCAGACAGAGACATTATCAGTACCATATTTGTTTTCATACCTAGCACGCTGTTTTTTGACTTTCAGCCCCTTCAGTGTCTTACTGTGTTTCTTCAGTTCATAGCTGTCCTCAGTGAATTACTGGGAGGGTTGTAGAAGCTCCAAGCTCTTCTCAGAAGGGTGCAATAAAAGGGTAAAATGTAACTGACAAAAATTACATCAAGGGAAAATCCCTATTCCCTACCATAGTTCTCTGTACTCTGTAGCCTCAGGCTAAAAGGGAGGCAGTGTCTTGAGCTTACAACTACAAGCAGATATAAGTAAGCCAGCAGTTGGGTTCTGTGAGTCTAAGGGGACTAGCGTGGGTTGCTCCCCTGAAGAGTAGGACGGTTTACTTGTTTGTGCCTATTATCAATGTAGGACTGTTGACAGTTCATTTACTAGACAAGGAATGTCTGTTCTCTATTTAAAATGAAGTTACTATCTTTACCTTTGGGAGTTGTTAAACATATCAATGCATGTTACAGGTGTTGCTTCAGACCTTCCTCTAGAAAGGGATTATCACATGCTAATGCATAGAGTTTGTACTTCATCTTCCTGCAATAAATATTCTCCTGAGTAAATAAGGAATAGTACTCTTGTCACTTACATCCTGGTAATGTTGCTGTCACAGCATTGAATTGTTTTCCAGGTACTTTATTTGGTAGAGGAGATCAGTTATATTAGCATTAGACAACAGTGTAGTTTGTAGGGTGAAATAGATTTATTTCACTGCGAGCTTTGGCCTTGCTATCTTAACGGATTCTGAAAATGAGGCTTCTGCAGAGGCCACAAGCTTGTTTTTCTCACACATTGCATGAATTACCTTAGCTTATATCCAACAAAGTTCTGTGAGTCTGAAGTCTTTTCCAGCCTCATCTCTGTACAGCCTAGTCTACTTTTGATGTTCTTGTTGGGACATCAATAGGAGATGATGTTATTTTTCTTGATAATATTGCACTGAATGCTCTCAAAGATATTTTGATGGTAACAGACACCAACAGAAATAAATGCAGGAGATTTTTTTTGGCTGCATTTACTACAGGTTGAAGGAATTTTGCAATAAGTCGGAGGTAAAGTACGTTCAAGAAAAATGCCTATTTGTCAAAAGATTGTGTGTAGCCCCTTGGAAGATATTGCGCCACTGGGCTCTGTAGTAAGTAGCGTTTGTTTTTAACACCCTAGTGCTACTGGATTTGAAGGCAGTCAAAAGGGAAGGAGGAATAGGTGTACTGTACTGTAAAGGACGAAAAAGTTGAGTTTACCAAGCAGACCACCTGGCAGCAGCTGATGTTCTTACGTTCTGCTGTTCTTGCACTCTGAATTTATAGTTCTTCTAATATACTAATGTTATGTCCTGACAGTCTAAGCTGTCATCTGAGAGTCCTTTCTAGTCTTCCAAACTGGTAAGCCCCAGTTTCGGACTACTACTGCTGCTCTCTATTCCTGTGCAAAGAAAATCAATGCTGCCTCTCTGGTTTACTCTAAGTCAGGTCTATTTGTCAAGTTGTGTAAAGATTCACATAAGACTGGTAAAACTGGAAATAAGACTAGGAGTTATGAGTGTCTGATTTGGAGAAGGGATGAACAATGAAGTCATGAACAATGTGTATCTAGGAAGAAGTGTGGCATCTAAACTTCTAGTTTAGGGTCATAGGAGGTGTAAAGACAATGTAAAGCAACAGTATGCTCACATTCTCCTGTAAGCCTTGCTCAAACTCTGAAAAACTAAAGCCTATTGCATTCAGGAGCAGGTATCTCAACATAGGAGTTCAATTATTATTCACATTTCATTTTTTTTTCTCCACTGTAGACTACTTTCTTCCTCTGAGTAACTGATTTTCAGGGCACCCTTTTTTCTTTTCATGGAGTATTTCACTGACTCTGATTCACTTTTCCTATGCAAGCCTACTTATCTTTAAGACTTTGTTTGTTGAGCCCAGAGAGAGTTACCTGATTTCAAGAATAGGGAAAATGTTTACAAGACTTGGGTCTGTGCACAATTAAAGTGAGAAAAAAGAGAAACTATAAGATGAATAGGGCTGACAAGAACTTTTCTGTTACTTGAGTTACATTCTGCTTCTGTAGACCACAAGGAACCAGGAAAATACCTGCATGGAATTTTCTAAATTAAAAATATTTTGCTAACTATGAATACATTTATTGTAGAGGATCCTGCTTTGAGCAGGAGTTGGACTAGATACCACAGATGGACTAGATATTGGTCCCCTCCAGCTTGCATGATTCTATTGTTCTGAATACCCTAACTTGACATTTGTAGTGTCAAAAGTGCTACTTATGTTAAGAATAACTTTAAAAATATAATATTTCAAAATCTTAGGTGTTCATCCATATTCAGGTTCACTATCCTGGTTTCCTGTAGACAGAAGTGTAGTCCAGGCTCTGGTGGGATTTAACGTGATACCATTGAGGAATAGTTATGTCCTGATGCAGTGAAAAGCATATCTTCTGTCCTCCTAATTTGCTGGGGTTTTTTCAGTTTCATCATGAGATGGTTGGTAACAGACCTGTCTCTTCGATCTCCCACTGTCTTAATCTACTTATCTAATACTTTGCTCTATTTCATGCAGACCATGATGGCTAATTGGTGCTTGAAATACTTTCTTGTTTAATAATTAGTCTCTTTTTCTTTTATTATTTTCATTACAGGAAATGGCAAAAAGCATATTTTGAGCCTTACAGTTTTAGGGCTTATTGGACTAACCCCATCATTTGATAAAGAACCTTCTTTGTCCTAAGGTAGGCATCACCTCATTTGATTGGTCAATAAAAGGACAGAGGAGCATTATTTTGCAGCAACAGAGGCACAGCTGGGTATCATCAGCTGTGTTTTTACTGTTTTCCAGATCTCTTGTAGGCTTGTGATGAGTAATTCATCTAACTTCTTAACGTGCACAGAAGAAACTTGCAAATACTTGCTAGCGTTCAACCTGTTCCTATGCATTGCTTCCCATTCTTTCTGGCGACCACTTGGTAGAGTGCAAGAGAAAAAATGTGAGAGAATTTCCAAGATTACAACACTGACGAGTTTAGTTAAAGCAAAGAGGATAAAAAGTCCCATGAACTCTAAGGCCACTTGCTGGTGTAAATGGTTTCAAGCTTCTCCTTCTGACTTCTGCTTTTAGGTTTCTTTTTGATTTTTCTTGACTGGCCTTACCCTCATTCATTCTCCATTTCAGCCCAGTTTTGTTTCTGAATGTCACGTTTTGGCTTAGGCAAGCTGTTAGCTTCCATGTATGGCCAATTTTTAGCCTTACTGTACTCTTGCTGTTCATCATACACTTCTCTGGAGTTAGCTGGCCAAACCTGTGCTGGTCTAGAGGGCTGAACTCGAATGCCCAGACAAGCAGTGCTGCCCCATTGCAGAACATCCACTCGCTGGTCATGCAGCTTTAACTTAACTATGAAAACAAGTGACTTCTTTGAAATGCTTCTATCTTTTATGTGACCTCAAGAGGTAAACTACTGATAATCCATCTCTCGAGCAAAAGAAGCACTTAAAGGAAATAGAAACTAGTTTCGACAGGAGAGGAAACAT